GAACGATAATAATGTCTGGGACTTAGTAGATTTACCGGAAGGTGCAAAGAAAGTCGGCTGTAAATGGGTCTTTAAGACCAAGCTTGACTCACGTGGTAATATCGAAAGGTATAAAGCCCGACTTGTTGCCAAAGGTTATACCCAAAAGGAAGGCACATTGAGACGATCTGAAAGGGAAAGGAGATCTGCAATCTCAGATGATTATGTGGTTTATTCTCTAGAACATGAATGTGACTTAAGCATTGATAATGATCCGTCTACATTTCAACAAGCCATGAATAGTTGTAATTCTGGAAAATGGTTTGATGCCATGAAAGAAGAATTAAAATCCATGAACGATAATAATGTCTGGGACTTAGTAGATTTACCGGAAGGTGCAAAGAAAGTCGGCTGTAAATGGGTCTTTAAGACCAAGCTTGACTCACGTGGTAACATCGAAAGGTATAAAGCCCGACTTGTTGCCAAAGGTTACACCCAAAAGGAAGGCACAGACTATAAAAAGACTTTTCTCCGGTTTCTAAGAAAGACTCTTTGAGAATTATATTGGCTTTAGTTGCCCAGTATGATTTAGAGCTTCATCAAATGGATGTTAAAACCGCTTTTTTGAATGGTGATCTAGAGGAACAAGTATATATGGATCAGCCTGAAGGATTTATACCCACAGGAAAAGAAAATTTAGTGTGTAAGCTGAGAAAATCAATTTATGGACTAAAACAAGCTTCCCGACAATGGTATCTTAAATTTAATAATACCATTACATCTTATGGTTTCGTAGAAAATATCGTTGATCGATGTATCTACATGAAGGTTAGTGGGAGTAAGTATGCGATTTTAGTCTTATACGTTGATGATATTTTACTTGCTGCAAATGACATGAGAATTTTACATGATGTAAAAGTGTTTCTTTCTAAGAATTTTGATATGAAAGATATGGGCGAGGCATCCTATGTGATAGGAATAGAAATATTCCGAAATAGATCACAAGGATTGTTAGGATTGTCTCAGAAAGGGTATATCAACAAAATCTTAGAAAGATTCAGAATGGATAAATGCTCTGCAGGAAAGGTTCCAATTCAGAAAGGGGACAAGTTCAGTAATTTACAATGTCCGAAAAATGAATTAGAACGAAAGGAAATGGAAAATATTCCTTATGCATCAGTGGTTGGGAGTTTAATGTATGCTCAAACGTGTACTCGACCAGATATCAGCTTTGCTGTTGGAATGTTAGGTCGGTACCAGAGTAATCCTGGAATGAATCACTGGAAAGCTGCAAAGAAAGTTCTAAGGTACTTGCAAGGCACCAAAGATTATATGCTCACATACAGAAGATCAAATCATCTGGAAGTCATTGGTTATTCAGATTCAGATTATGCTGGATGTGTTGATACCAGAAAATCGACTTTTGGATATTTGTTTCTACTTGCCGGAGGAGCAGTATCATGGAGGAGTGGAAAGCAGTCTGTCATCGCTGCTTCCACCATGGAAGCTGAGTTTGTAGCATGTTTTGAAGCTACCGTTCACAGTTTATGGATGCGGAACTTTATCTCAGGGCTTAGGATTGTCGACACTATAGCTAGGCCGCTGAGAATTTACTGTGATAATTCCGCAGCTATCTTCTTCTCGAAAAATGATAAGTACTCGAAAGGTGCTAAGCATATGGAGATAAAATACTTATCTGTCAAAGAAGAAGTGCAGAAACAAAGAGTATCATTTGAGCATATCAGTACTGATTTTATGATAGCGGATCCATTAACTAAGGGACTGCCGCCTAAGACTTTTAATGCTCATGTTGATCGTATGGGCATTATAGATAAGTCGTTGCTGTAATTTAAATAATTGCTCATTATATATGATATCTTGAATTCAATAAAGTCTTGTTTCTGTTATTGAAAGTCATATTATCATTAAATTATTTGTGTACATATGAAGTTGATAAAGATAATATGCATTATTGTTCTATAGTTACTTCTGGCCATAAAAGAGGTTTTGGATGACAAACGTTTGTGATACTTGGAAGGAATCATATTCAAATAAAATGATGTGTGACCGCCAAGATTCAATTGTTTGTTGTTCAAATAAAAGTTATCGGTGATAGATGAATACAATATAAAATTACGCGTTTTAAAGATTGTAGATCATCAAATCATCACATTTCATTCAACAATGCATAATCCATATCATTGAAACCCAAATAAAATTGGATCTGTTCAGACCAGTCTGCATAGTTAAGCCCGTTGAACTTAACAATTCCATTGCCAGAAGCCATAAGGTTAAGTGAAGCTGAAATTTTATAAATATTTATCCATTAGTATTTCAAAAGTAACAATAATATGTACCAAAATTTACCTTTGGGCAATATTTCAATACATACATACAATCATTGATGCAAAATATGCTTTAATGGACATCATAATATTACCAGTTAAATAAGAATGCAATCTTTGGATATACATACTTATTAACCAAAATTATGTCCCTATAATATTATTAATCATATGCATTGATCCATCTTTGGATGATCTAATAGCAATATGATAAATAATTATAATTGTTCAATTATTTATTTTATGTCATACATTAGCATCCTTTTATTATGAACAATTAAAACATGCGTATTTGGTTTGAATATTTATTTTAATTTAAACTAAGTCACTTTGGTGACTAACAAGTTTAAAATATAAAACAAATAAAAATATTTTTAACCTCCATATAACATGTATCCACATAGTTAATTTCATAAAGTATATAAACTATTATCCATACAAATTTCTATATGGTATATTAATGCATAATATATATACTTATATGAAGATACAATAATAATAATAATAATACATATTGATATGTATTATAAAACATAGAAGTTATCAATATTAATATTTCACTATAAATTTATTAATTTATTTGAAACCATCTTTATTGTTCAATTTTAGAACTCGCATTTGATATAATTAAAATGATCTTTAATATAGTTAATATTTGCATGATATTTTATAACTTTATGTTAACTTTTCATGCAAGTATGTCTTTGTACTCATATATTCAAGATATATGTATATATATCTATATATTGCTATTATTATATAACAAACACGAATATTCATATATACTAATTCATATATATATATATATCCACTTTAATTGATATTACTATAATCTTTGATGATACATAAAAAAAATGTATCAATATATTACACATATTAAAATTTCGAAACTATAATCGATGAATTATGATAAAACAAAACACATGCTCTGATACCAAATGTAAAAACTTTATATTGATGGTTTTCGATAACTTTATGAAAACTCACCAAAAACTGGATACGGTTTTTGCATAATTCATACAATTCGAAATTAATATACATATCGGATAAGAATTATACCTGAATCCATTTTGCAGCGGAATAACTTTGAAGAATAATTCGGTAAATCGATTTTTCTCTCTTTTCACCCTTACTTTGATAATTTTTCTGATGGATGAAAAATATGAATCAAGATCCTCTATTTATAGGGGAAAGAGATGGATTACCATGAATACCAATGGACATTCAAACTTAATTAGCTCATATCCATCAATGAGCTCAAAATAATATGAAGTCCAAAACCCAAAATTCCATGGGTCAATTTTATATTTCCAACAATATCACGACAAATTAGTCGAACCGATTCTATATAAAAATACCCTCATTTTCAAATAAATACCCAGGAATCATATCGAACAAATCCACATCAAGGGAAAAATATTTACTATTATACGATCGGAACCTTTTTTTTTCGTTTTTAAATAAAACAAAACGACGGAGAAAATTATATCGTGGAAATACATAATTAGAACCCCACAAATACCGGGTCCTTTTGTTTTTTTATTTTTTCTTTTTTTCTTTTTCAAATTTTCTTCACCACCATCAATGCTTCGACGTGGAATATGGAAGTCCAATCTTCAAAAAAATAAAAAAAAATAAAAGGCAAGTATTTTTTTTTCTCTCCTTTTCTTAAATTTCTTCATCAACATGTGAATCCAAAATTCCACCTGAAAAATGTGAAAACTAAATTGCACCACAAGATAAAAAAAAAAAAAAAAGAGAAAAAGGAAGAAGAAGAAAGCTTATTTCTACGGCTCAATTCCATCAAATCACAACAATGAACACAATCCTCGCCCTTCCGACCCGCACGTGCTTCTCCCCCTGGCTCACGTGCCGTCCCACCGCTAATTCGACTCTCCGCCCCCCGCCGTTCCGCCTCTATCTATCTCAGGCGGCGCGTAGGATGGCGCACGCTGCGGCGGCGGCGGATGCGACGGAGCTGAAGGAGGGAATCGCTGGATTCTATGATGAGACGTCGGGGATGTGGGAGGAGATCTGGGGAGAGCATATGCACCACGGCTTCTACGAACCTCGATCCGACGTCGGATTGAGTGACTCCAGCCACCGTGAAGCTCAGATCCGTATGGTCGAGGAAGCTCTCCGATTCGCCGGATTTTCTGGTTCGTCTTCTTCCTTCGTTCGCTGTTTGTTTTCGCAGGTAAAACGAATGCCATAGTTAGTTTAAAATAATAGAAACGAGAATTAATTAATCCTCATATTAATTCCTTTTGTTTAGAATATTAATAAGAAATAAATAAAATAAATTGTAAATTTTTTCTGAGAATTTGAATAAAATTACTATCTCTACAAGGTTTTCATTGATAAAAGGGAAGAAAGATACAAACATGAGGAGTAAGAGTTCTAAAAAAATCATGAATTTTGATGTGCGTGAGAAAAAAAAAATATCATAATATTTGAAAAAGGATGGGTACTTGTACGCACAGAAAGCTGCAAAATCTTTGAAAAAGGATGGGTGTCATATATATATATGTGCATGTTTGAAAAATACATAAAAGATAAATATTTTACAAAATAATATTTTAAATAAAATTTTGAACATTAATCGAGTTGAAAATCGAAAAATTCGAACCCTGAAAGATCTATTATAACCCCCCAATGACAAGAATATATTATATAGCTAGCAACAGCCGTTTATGAGTTGGAGATGAAGATGGAATGTTCAGAAAGGCCAAATCAATCCAATTATAATAATGCCATGGATGCTATTGGAGCCAGCATTGTCGGTTTATGATATGACAATGACGACGACTAGGCTAAACGCAAGTTGGTGCTCTAATATTGTCACGTGTGCAAATAAAAATATAAATTTCGTAAAATAAATAAAATTTCATTTTTTAAAGAATTTTTAGATTAAAATTCAGTTTTTCGGTATACAAAAATCATAATCATTCAATTTTTATATAGAATTCGGTTTGGTTACGATTATGTATTGTTCGGTTTAGATTTATTAGGCTATTAACCAAGTTATCGGCCCTTTTATTACTCAACTGACATAACAAAAAGGGTAATGCATGTACGTCTGAAAATGGAAGCAGGGGAGGAGGAAGAGGGGGGAAAGCCAAAGACGGTGATCGATGTGGGATGCGGAATAGGCGGAAGCTCGAGGTACTTGGCCAGAAAATTTGGGGCCGAATGCGTTGGCATCACTCTCAGCCCTTTCCAAGCTCAGAGAGCAAATGATCTCGCTGCTTCCCAGGGTCTCTCTCACAAAGTATTCCTATCATCTCATATATCGTAATAACCATTTTTCTTGCCCTGAATCATCGGAGATTTGTCCTCACATGAACTGCATTGACATGAATCAGGTCTCGTTCCGAGTCGCAGACGCGTTGCGGCAACCGTTTGAGGACGCGAAATTCGACCTGGTGTGGTCCATGGAGAGCGGCGAACACATGCCCGACAAAACCCAGGTAAGGCTCGATTCCCCATCCATCATCGGAATTATCCATAAGCCTGTGTTCTTTTAGCTGGTGAATGGTGGTGGTGCAGTTCGTTAAGGAGTTGGCCCGAGTGGCTGCGCCTGGTGGGAGGATAATCATAGTGACATGGTGCCATAGAGACCTCTCACCCGGCGAAGAAGCTCTTCAGCCATGGGAGCAGACCCTCTTGCGAAGAATCTGTGACGCGTTTTACCTCCCCGCCTGGTGCTCTACTTCTGATTACGTCGCCTTGCTCGAATCTCTCTCTCTCCAGGTAATGTCCCTTCTTCGTTCTGGTGGTTGATAACTTGATTCATTGTTACATGGAAACGTTAAATTTTGGATTTGAGATAAGTGTGAGCATCCGAGTTTTCGGATGTGTTTTCTAACCTCGACCTCATTCCTCTCGAGTATACATTTGCTTTTGTAAGACTCAGGTATCCAAGGTTCGGATATCCGTGGGGTGAAAGGAGGACTCGGGTACTCGACCGGTGAGACGAGGGGCGAGGTGAGAGGATGAGGAGGTGTGAGCAGATGCGAGAAAATAGAAAGAGTTTTGAAATCCGCAAGGCGCAAAATCCTAATATATGATTTTAAAATAAAACACGGGCGAAAATAAATTCAAACTCTCGGCGCCTCCTCGCCGCCTCCCTCTCGCCTCATGCCCCCTCGACCTCCTCTCTCCCTCCCTTCTTTCGACTCGGTTATCCGTGGATACAGATAAACATCGGCCGAAATCCTTATTGAAACCTGTAGAGTCGGATTCTCGCCGTCAATGGACACGTATTCGTCCCACCTGACGATGAGAACCCGAAAATGTGGATACACGATTTCCGGATCGGACGGATATTCACAATCTCCGGTTCCAGTGTCCACCTCTCGTTTGAGGCGCTCTTTTTTTTTTTGTAATATCCAAAACGCTGAAAAACGTCTATGGGGGTGTGTATTCTGTCTGGTGCAGGACATCAAGTCTGCAGATTGGTCGGAGAACGTTGCTCCGTTTTGGCCGGCGGTTATACGAACGGCTCTAACGTGGAAAGGCATCTTCTCTCTTCTTCGCAGCGGTAATCGTTTTCATTTTCATAATTCTTAATTCATCTCTGGCTACAAGTTGGGATTTTGATCATGTGAAAGATCCAATCATCTAAAACGCTTATGCAAGATCAAGAGAACTGGATCCACTATGCGGCGTTTTGAATGAAATGAGCTTTGTTTAGAATCACTCCGACAAAACATCCCGAAGATCTTGGAACCGTTTATGTCTCCAAAGATCTTGGAACTGAAGCAGTTGTACGGATGGAACAGGTCTAAAGGGTGTCAAAGGAGCATTGGCGATGCCACTGATGATCGAAGGCTACAAGAAAGGTCTCATAAAGTTTGCAATTATCACGTGCCGGAAGCTTCAGTAAACAAACGCAAAACGCAGCGGCTGCGTTCAGTTTTTTTTAGATTTTTCTCTTGCCCGACATACTCCACCTGTCAGATTTACAATAAAAATTGCCTCCACTTGTTTCATTATTTGGGAAATTATTTATGAGGATACGTTTGTTTTAAGATTTTTAAGGATGAAAGCAATTTACAGGATAAGATATGAAAAATAATAATAACAGTAGTAGTAATAATAAAGGGAAAACCTCTAAAAAATCATGAACTTGCAAATTGCGAAAAAAAATAATTTCTGAACATACTGCAATGGTACCTAATTATTTCTGAACTTGAAAAAAGCGACTCAATAATTCTTAATCTTGTTAAAAAGTGTCGTAATAGTCTTTAACATAAAAAGATTATAATAATACGATTTTTAATTCCTACGTGACAGGTGACTTGTCAAACCATGTCGAATTTTTGAGCCATGTATTCAAGACCGGGTTTAGGAAAACCGGTTCAATAAAAACGATTTCAAACAGTAAATTTCGGGTTCAATATAACTTTGACGGAACCCTCCCTCTCTTTCATCATCTCGTCCGCCCATTTTGACTTCTACAGCCCAATATATGAGGTACCGGAATCTTCTATGAACGATTCGTGGCAACGGATTTCAGCATGCTTTTCGTTTCTTGTAAATTTGTTAGGAATCTTTTGTTATTCATTTTGTGTATAAAACACATGTACAGATTCATTATTCAATACACAGAAATTTTTTCACAAAATACTGAAATCTTCCTCGCCTTCATCCGCATCATCAAAATCATCCATTACTATTACTTCTCCTACCATACCCACATACATCAGAAACCCAGAAACCCAATTGCCTCTTTTCGGCCATGGAATTCATTCCAAAGCTCACCGAGCCCCTGGAGCCGCGGAAAACCAATGTCGATGCCGTTCCATGCGTGCCTTTGTGGTGATATATACAGGAGAGAGGACAGAGAGACGACTTAGAAGCGGTAATGACGGAAACATTGAAGGAGAGAGAGGTAGAGACTTGCGAGAAAAGCGAGAGAGACATGATTTTGGGGATTAGGGTTTATCCTCTTCCCTTGGTTCAAAGCTTACGTAGCGTTCATCTTCATCCACAAAGCCGGAGAGAAGAAGATCGAAGGGACTCGCTCTCGGGTTTTTTACCCAAATAACCCACTTGGGTCGCATCTATTTCACATGTACACTACCGAAAACATAACACATTTTTTTCCCTACGAAAAGACGAAATTACCCTTAATAAATTACAATATTTATCCGTTCGAAAACAACTTCGTTATTACGACTTCGTAATTACGTCTAAATATAGTTACAATTGATTCTAAAAAAGGTGGCAAAAAAATCAGTCTGTCTTATTTTTAGTTGTATATCAGTTATATGTTAGTCGTAATAAGGTCACAAAAAATAAAACGAAAAGGGTATTTCGGACTTTTCCCCCGAAAAGTGGATTAAAATTGAAATTTTTTTTTTTTTTCGGTAGTGTACACTGAAATAGATGCGACCCAAGTGGGTTATTTAGGTGATTTCCCCCTCGCTCTCTCTCCCCGCGGCTAGTGCCTAGTGGGTTGGAAACGGAAACTGAGGATAAAATGACTCCATGACATAAAAATAAAATAAAAATAAGTTTTAAAAGGCCCAAAATATATTGACTTTTTTAATTTGTGATTGTTAATGTTAGTCCACTAATTAATAATAAAGTGAAATTGTATGAGAATTATATTTTTATAAATTCATTTCCTTTGAGAATCTAGGAAATTAAGCCTAATAAGTATCTTTGTAAATTGTATGAGAATAATATTTTTATAAATAATATTTTTCTTTTTTTTCCAAAAAAAAATTATTTTTTTCTCCTTTTCTTAAATATCTTCCTCAAACATGCGAATCCAAAATTCCACCTGAAAAACGTGAAATTAAATTTCACCACAAGATTCGTACATCCGAACAAAGAGAACGAGGAAAGCGTCCTGAGATTTACTCTTCCACTGTTCCATTCCATCAAATCATCTCTCTCTTCTTCGTGAGCAGCTTTTTTTATTTTTGGTTAAATGTAATTTAGTATTAATCCATATAGTTCAAAAATTCTTACAAAACAACCCCGTATTGGGTAATCATTGAGCAAGCTAATACAAGAAATCTCATGTGCAAGTGGTCAAAATAATTGGCAGTCAGTTGCCTACTTCCTTAGTCGTGTTGCGTTATCGCCTTCTAGTTCGTTCCGTCAAAAAGTATCAGTGTTCCAGAAGCATGTTGTTTGCTGATCGTGTCCTGCCCTTCACCGAAAGGAGATTGGTTTTCATCATGCTGTCGAGTTGTTGTTGCAGAACATGTGACGTTCTAGGGTCGTTCCGGAAGATTCGGTTGTTAGGTTTACTCCAAAGAAGGTACACTGTGGCCTGCAGGATGAGTCTGGAGATTGTCACCCTGCTCTTCCCGTCATCGTTGCCCGTTGCTGCAGTCCAATTAATGCAATCCTGCAGTGAACTCGGTGGAGAATTCCAGCAACATGAGGCATAGTATGTCCACACATAATTGTTGTAGGTGCAGTCGAAGAAGAGGTATTGATGCATCTCCTCCTCAAGCCCGCATAGTATACAAGTAACATCTGTTTGAAGCCCCCATCTCCTCAAGCGGTCCTTTAGTTTTTTTTAGACTTTTCTCTTGCCAAAAGAGTGTCTGGGACCAGCCTCTCGGAACCAGACCATACGATGTCACGAGACCGTGGGATTGTTCGCACGGATCAGGTTCCAAGTTTTCGAGGTTGGTTATGCTTGAATTCGCCATTGTCTTGCTTCCATAGTACCATATCTTCTCCGAGTTCCGGTCTTGGCGGGTCAGTATCCGTCAACGAGAACAGAAGCTGTTGGATTGTTTCTGTTCTAGCCGCCGGAAGTGACCAACCACCATTCTTGACCGCCTCTGCTACTTTTGCGTGCTTCGACAACCGTAACAGTCTCGGCCCAAGCTCTCCTATATGGTCAATCAATGGTCCATGTGTTGTCCAGTCATCAAGCCAGAACTGAGCTAATTGTCCATCCCGTACCTGTATTTTGATGAAGGAACGTGTTGTTTCCCTCATCGACAATAATTTCCTAAGATTCCAAGATGATGATGTTGTTGCCTTTGTATCCCAAAATCCCCGCTGCTTGAGTATATTCAGACGAGTCCAAGCTACCCACAGGGAGCCTCCTTTCGTGAACAACAACCAAATGAGTTTAAGTCTGAATACCTTATTGTAGTCCTCCAGTTTCCGTAATCCGATTTCCCCTTCTTCCTTCGGTAGACAGACTGTTGTCCATGCAATCCTTGGAGTAACTCTGCGTGTTCCAGAATTTTTCCACAGAAATTTAGAGCATAGACCATCAATATGCGTTAGTACACACTTCGGTAACAACGTGAACAACTTTTGTTCCACATCAACAATGAACACAATCCTCGCCCCTCCGACGCGCACGTGCTTCTCCCCCTGGCTCATGTTCCGTCCCACCGCTAATCCGACTCTCCGACCACTGCCGTTCCACCTTCATCTATCTCTGACGGCGTGTGGGATGGTGCGTGCTGCGGCGGCGACGGATGCGACGGAGCTGAAGGAGGGAATTGCTGGATTCTACGACGAGATATCGGGGATGTGGGAGGAGATCTGGGGAGAGCATATGCACCACGGCTTCTACGAACCTCGATCCGACGTCGGATTGAGTGACTCCGTCCACCGTGACGCTCAGATCTGTATGGTCGAGGAAGCTCTACGATTCGCCGGAGTATCTGGTTCGTCTTCTTTCTTGGTCCGCTGTTTGTTTTCGCACGTAAAATGAATGACATGGTTAGTTTAAAATATAATAGAAACGAGAATTAATTAATCCCCATGTATCAACCTGGGAATAAATTGAGAAAAGGAAGAGAGAGAGAGAGAGAGAGAGAGAGAGAGATCGCGTTTCTGAAGAAATTTTCTCTTTGATTTCATTAACAAACTGTACACGCTTATTTATACAAGAATGAAAATAACAAACTCTCAACAAACCCAAAGAATGAATGACACGTATATGCTCTATCTGATAAATTACAGATCAGCTCCATAAACCAGTAATAAACCTTAATCCTCTTAACCGGAATCGAAACCTTCTCTGTATAACAGAGTTTTCTTAAGGAGACGAAACAGAGCATTCAAATTACTATATCTATCTACAAGGTTTTCATTGATAAAAAGTGAAGAAGGATATAAATATGAAGAATAAAAGATCCAACGGCTTTATTCTCGGATTCGAATCTACCGGTGGGAAAGAGATATAATTTCTGAATCAAAATATGATTAGGGTGGATGCAGCGGACAAAGTTCTAAAAAAACGGTAATACATCTATGAAGAAAAACGAAGAGCATAACGATCTAATCGTAGCTATAATTTCTGTCTAGATTTACGTGTAGCGAAATAATTACGTACAACAATTGCATGAATTTAAATCTAGACTAACCGGATCATCGTAATATGTGCGGTAAAACGTATCTTAAAACGCAGAATCAGAGAGTCGGAAACGTCACAAAGACGAGAAAAGAGCGTACAAATAAGAACATCTCTACCGATATCCACACATCGGATCAGTATGCTAGTACCCTCGGGATTCGTCGGTTTAGACAACACAAGACTTTTCATATTCCAGCTCGGGAACTTTTCTTTTGTCGGATTTTATGTTTCTGTTGGTTTCCGATGATTTTTGAAATGACCTTTGATGTCAATTTATAGAAATCTCAAAGCAAATGAAGAGTCAAGTTCATTTAATAGGTTTCAGAATACGAATAGACAGATTCATCTTCATTAAATAAGTTCATATCAACCTTATTTAATGAATGTATTACGTCATACGAAATGAATCTCGTATTCTAAAAATGTATCACATACACCGAGACTAATCTCGTGAATATAAACCGACAAAATAACCGAACAATAAATAGGGCGGAAAAAATACCCGAGTCTATAACTGATATATATCAAATATATAAATCCGATATAACCCTATGTGTGTGACCCGGTAGGCTCCGTTTAACGTGGTCGCAACGAAAAAATCCTATTTTACCGTACACGTTGATAGTTGCCTCTAGCAAGACATATAAACTACACACGTTAAACCGAGTTATCACCTCGATTGTGC